TCTCTAAAACAGGGGATGACAACTATAGCCCAAGTTCAAGTTCTTTCTGTTTGTGTGAACAGTTTTGTTCAAACGTGACCCCATTCGTCCGTGTCTACACCTTGTCCCTGGCCGCTCTCGAGCTGCAGGCGTGGCGTGGAGCAGTCACAGCCCAGGCCATCTGGCCCTCAAAGCTAGGGACCTTCACTGTCTGCCCTTTCACAGATGAGGTTTGCTGACGCCTAGTCCAAAGCAATGCATGGCACACAGTAGGCGCTCAATAAATATTTGTTGTTGCAGAACTGAGCCTGTCATTCATCCATGACCCACATGTGGCTGCCAGCTTGCTCTTGTCTCCGAGCCAGTTCCAGCTCTGGGTCACATGCACCAAAACAACAGCCCAGCAACCAAAAATAAAATACTGGAGCCATTCAAGGCTGCCACGGGGAAGATGCCCAGGCAGAGCTGCCGCGAGGCCCCAGAGCAGACTCACAGCCTCGTTCTCCCGGTCCCCCTCCTCCCACCAGGCAAGGAAGCTGCTCCCCCCAAGTTTGTTTTTTGATTCAAAAAAGCCCCTGAACCCTCTTCCACCCCCAAACAGTCCTGTCCCTAACCCTCCTGTCTTCTCCCCTTTTAGCTCCAGTTTTTATCTGTGTAGGTCCACTTAGTTCTTAAGGGCTTTCCCCCACACCTATCTGCCCATTATGCAGATTGTGCACACCAAGGTCATGCCTGTGGGTGGCGCCAGCTGGCGGGAATCCATCTGCCCTGGAGACTCAGGATGCTCCACTTCCTCTTCCCCAGCACACACCCGTTCCTGTGTCCCACTCACCCTCATGTCTGAGTCCCCTCTCTCATAATGTCCCCTCAGGACCCAGGGAGGGATCAGTGCAGTCCCTGAGAGCCAGGCCTCGTGACTTAATAAGGACCGTCGCAGCTGGTTGGTGGGGAGGTCTTGAGCCTAAAGGGAATGAGTTTGGGACTTTATCCGGAGGATGTTTTCTCGCAGGTGTAGATGGGGGACAGAAGAGGGCTCAGAGGTGGTGTGATGCCCGCTTTGGACCTGGTTCTCTGGGCCTTGGTTTCTCTCTGGTGGTTTTGTGTAGTGATCTGGAGACAGATTACATGGGTTCCAACTCGCCTCTGCCACTTTGGAAATGTGCAAACTTGGGCAACTGTGCCTGGGTATTCTCACCTGTAAAGTGGGCATGCTCTCAGTGCTGACCGCTGAGAGTAGTGGGAGGATTGTGGGTTTTAATACTTACGAAGGGCTTAGAAGTATTAAGCACTCCATAAATATTGTCAACTATTTTTCTGAAGCCCTGGGGATTGAACCCAGGAGCGCCCTACCACTGAGCTGCTTCCCCAGCCCTTTTCATTTTTTAGTTTGAGACAGGGTCTTGCTCCATTGCCCAGATGTTATCAACAATTAAAGGGCTTAGCGCAGGATAGAGAACCCTCACAAAAAGCAGCTCATTATCATCACCCAGTGATGTCATCAGTGTCCCCAGAGCTGAACAGCAATGACTGCCCTCTCCAGTTCCCAGGCAGGTTTCGACTCGCGGTGGGAATGACGACATCACTACACGCCAGGCAGATATCGCACCGAAGGGGACTGATGGCATCTCTGATTTCCAAACAGCTTGTGGTTAGACTCGGGGTGCCAGAGCCCTGTTTCCTGTGTGAAACTCTGTGGCATCCCAGTGCCCACTTTTCCCGGGGCCTCCAGCCTCAGTTTTCTCCCCACCCAGTGAGGATGGTAAATACCCATCTCACGGGGTGTGAGATGCTGCTGTGAGTCCTACACGGAGGCACCACGTCCAGCATACGGACAGCACTTTGTAAACCATCTCTGTTTCCCTCCCTGCAGGATGAGAGTGCGCCAGCCAGAGTGACAGGAGCCCTCAGCTCGGTCCTGGTTAAGAGCTTGGATTCAAGGGTCTGACCCGCTGGTGTTGGATCCCAGATCTGGAACCAGCAGGAGTCAGGAGACCCTGGGCACTTGCTGGCTGGAAAGTAGGGTGCTGATACTGCCCATCTCACGGGGCTGGCATTGGGGGTGTTGAGATAACGACGGCCGGGTTCCCAGCAGCCATTCAAATCCCCGTCACTGCCGGTCCTCGTGGCAAGGCCCTCTCCTCCATGGGACTCAGTTTCCCCAGCTGCCTAGAGGTGGGAGGGGCTGGGCAACCGTGAAGCCATGGCCGTCCCAACACTTCATGACTCCTCCAAGACAGTTCAGCAACTCATTTTTGTGATTGTGGAGCAAATACACTCAGGGCAGATGCTCAGACTTGCACACGACACATCTCTGGCTTCTCTCCCCTGTCTCTTTGTCTCTCCATTTCTTAATTCCCAACTTCTCCCCTTCCCGTTCTCCAGCGTCTTTCCCCTGTTCCACAGTTAGCAGGTGTATAGTTTTTCTCCTGTGTGCTGTTTGTAGGGCAAAAGATAACAACCATTACAATAATCACTGTTTATTTAGCCTTTGGCCCAATGTCAGGACTGAACCAAGAGCATATGTACTAATTCATTGACTCTACACCATGCGAGGATTTACTACTGTCTATTCAACAAATATTTTTATCTGTTTGTCTGTTTTTGGTACTGGGATTAAACCCAGGGACACTCTACCACTGAACTACATTCCCAGCACTCCCACCCCCCCTTTTTAAGTTTCAAGACACAGTCTCACTAAGTTGCTGAGACTGGCCTCAAGTTTGCTATCCTGCCTTAGCCTCCTGAGTTGCTGGGATTAGAGGTGTGTACTGCTGCACCTGGCTGACAAATATTTATTGAGCACCTATTGTGTGCCAGGTCCTGGGGATTCAGCATTGAATAAAACAAAGATCCTTGCCCTCCTGGGACTGAAATTCTAGTGCAGAGACATGATAGACAGATACATAAACAAACAGTACCAGTGTCATGAGGAAAAACAAAGCAGGATCCAGTGGGGAGAGAGTGAAGAGGGAAGTGGTTTTTATAGAGGATAATCATAAAAAGCCTCTCAGAAGAGATGACATTGGAGAAGAACTGATACCAGAAGAAGGCCGCTGTGCAAACCTGGGAGAAGAGCATTCCTGCTGGAAAGACCAGAGAATGCAAAGGCCCTGGGGCAGGACCATGCCTAAGGAGCTCTGAAGGAACTGAAGAACAATCAGGAGCAGAATGCAAGAAGCAGAGGTGGAGGGAGGAGTGAGATCAGAGGGATAGGGGCCTGAGTACGAGGTGCAAGGCCTGTGGGCCATGGAGAGGACTTTGACTTTAAGTGAAATGGTTGCCAGACAACGTTCTGAACCAAAGAGGGGCCAGGTCTGAATAGAGATCCCAGTGCACACCCTTGGCAGCAGACAGTGGAAGGGGTGGGGGGAAGGGGAGAGGAAGGGACATCATCATCCCCGTTTTACAGATGCAGAACCCAGCTGCTGAGCTGCACTGAACCACCTGGGAGTTCCGTGGAGCCCTTGCTTTGTGACCTTGGGATGTCTCTGGCCTCTTCCGAGCCTCGATTTTCCTGTCTGTGAATTAGGAATCATGTCCCCACGTTTGTGCAGAGCGTGGGGACTAAAAGCCCAAGCTCTGGAGTCAGACTCGGAGTTGTTTGTCCTGCCATTTGTCAGCTCTGACGTTCGGCAATTAACACTCTTTCTCAGCTTGGGTTTACCTCATCTGGAAGATGAAGCTCTTAATGGCACCAATTTCAAGGGGTTCGTTGTAAGGATTAAATGAAATCATGCAGGTAACGCGCTCTGCAGAGCTCCTGGCATACACCGGGCGCTCAATAAATGATTATTATTACTGCTGGTGTCAGCGCCCACACCTCCCCTGTGGGTGAGGGCCCGGGATAGTGCCGGATACGCGGTCGGCGGTGGACAAAAGCGAATTCTTTCTCCCGTCTCTCCTGCCGGCCGGCTCCCTGGGGACCCAGGCATTCCGGCCTCCAGCCGCACCCCCCACGCCGGCCCTCACAAAGGCCCCCATTCAAACCGTGCGCACAAAGCGGCCCATTCACTCGGTCCACTGGGGCCTCCTGCCCCCGGCCGCCCCCCGCTCCTCTCCATTGGTCACGCCCGCTGCCCGTCAGGCCTCGGGTCCCACCCTCGACCGCGCGGCCGGCCTCGGCTCTCGGGCCAAGATCTTTTCCCACGGCTGGCACCCTTCGGCAACTTGTGATTGGCCCTAGCCACCAGCCGCTCTTCTTGATTGGCGGTCGCTGGCCCCCATGGGCGGGGCCGTGGCTTGCCGCAGCAGGCGCGGATTGGTCCCCGCTGTGCTCGTGGGGGCGGGGCTGTCTTGGCAGACCCTCCTCTCTTTCTCCCCAGGCCGAAGCCTCTGGACGGCCCTGCAAGCCGGTGAGTGTCCTGGGCCAGCAACGCGCTGGGGGCCGCAGAGCGGGACTGGGCCCGGGGAGGCTGTAGGCTGGGGGCTGCGATCGGGCCCCGGAGGCCGGTGCGGGCAGCCGGAGAGGGGCGGTGACGCGGACACTCACCTTGGGCGCGCAGGGGGACCGCGGCGGGGGAGGGGGGACAGGGGAGCTGCACTCCCCCAACCCGAGTTCCTACTGTGTTGGAGGTCGGGTCTGGGTCCTGGCTGGCGTCGCCGGGCCTTTTCCACAAAAAGGGAAACTGTGGCTTTCTTTGGGACTGTGGACAGTTTAATACCTGAGTCATTGCCTTCAGTCCCCCGCCCCCAGGATGACAATGTCTCTCTTTTCACGTGTAAAAACTGCGGGCCAGAGAGGGGTGGGGAAAGAACTCTTGAACACCTACGATGTCCTTGGCCGCTTTTATTTTTATGACTAAAACTATTTCCTTTTATTATCAAATTAACTCGGAGTGATTATATTGTACCCATTTCACAGAAAAGAAAACTGATGGAGGCAGGGACTACAGAGAAACCAGGTGAAGAATACTTTGGCGACAAAGTGTGTGCTGAGGCTCTCGACCTCTTTTTTTTTAATTTATTTTTTAGTTGTAGTTGGACACAATACCTTTATTTTATGTGGTGCTGGGGATCGAACCCAGGGTCTCGAACGTGCTAGGCGAGTGCTCTACCGCTCAGGCACAACCCCAGCCCCTCTCAACCTTTTTAATCCCAGAGTAGCCCCCTAAGGATGGCGGTGGCCACTTTGAGGACCTACCACATATTTGCCCCCCCCCCTCTTCTTTAGAATGGCAGCTGACAGTCTGGGCTTGAGTCCCAGATGTCCCTCTTAGTGTGTGACCTTGAGCACATTTCTTCATCTCTCCATGCCTCAGTTTCCCCGTCAGAGAAATGGAGATGCTAATGGTCCCTATCTCATTGGTTGTTAAGATCATTCTATGAATCAAAATTCCAAGAGCTGTTCTAGGTGAGCAGAAAGACACCTGGCCCGTGGGGGACACTCTTACCGGTGTTTCATCCTCCCTTCACCGGTGAGGAGCCCGCAGCTCAGCCGGCCTCAGAATTGCCTTTGGTCCTTTTCGCTTCACTCTGTGGACTGTGTGCTCCACTTCCAGGGGTGGGGACACTGAGGCTCAGAGGGAGTACCTGGTGACACGCTGGCCTGGGCCTTTTCTCCACATCGCTTTATTAATTTCATGGACCCAATCCCCAGCCAGGGAGGCTGGGAGCGGGATTGAATACTGGGAGTCCTAAGCCCTCTCCGCCGCGGGCCTTGACCTTCGCCCGCCGAGGAGGAGGAGCCCCTGGCGCCGCCGCCCATCTGGCAATAGGATCCCTCTGCCCTCCGGCTCGTCCCCCTGTCAAAGGCCTGCAGCTCCAGGACCCGCCCCCTTCCCCAGCCGGGCAGGTGCTGGGTGACATCAGACCCGGGCTCCCACCCCGTGACGCGACGTGGCCCCGCCCCGCGCTGGACCGCGGAGGTAGACGCACCTGAGTGCTTTGAAGAGGACCCGGGATTCCTGCGCCCCCTCCCCATCTTCCCGCTCCAGCTGGCGCCCCCAGGTAGTCCCGACGATCAGCGGATGGGGAGGGGGCGACACAGGCGCTTGAGATGGGGTAGATRAGGTTTTTGGACTCCTGGATCCGGAGATGGGCCCTGGGGGCCGGGTACCCCAGGTCTGAGCAAGGTCGGCAGCGCAGCAAGCGGGGATTCCTGGGCCTTGAGAGAGGGAAGGATTGGGGCCATTCAGGGTCTGGAGGCCTGGATTCCTAGATCTGAGGAAGGAGGTTGGGGTCCCAACTCCTGGATGTGAGGAGGAGGGCTGGGGCCTGGACCCCTGGGTCTGAGGGTAAGGGCTGGGGTCTGGTTTTCTGGGTCTGAGGAAGGAGAGACTGGGTTCTGGACCCCTGGGTCTGAGGGAGGAGACTGGGTTCTGGACCCCTGGGTCTGAGGGAGGAGACTGGGTTCTGGACCCCTGGGTCT